GGATGTAGTCCACGAAAGCTTATGCTCTAATAAATTTGTTAGTCTCTAAGGTGCCACAAGTACTCCTGTTCTTCTTTTTGCGGATACAGACTAACACGGCTGCTACTCTGAAACCAAAAATTCAAAGACTCCCATGACCCGTCCCAGACTTTTACTGAAAATACTGCGGGGGGAGAAGCACAGTAACAGTCAGAGCGCTGCCAGGGTCTGACCCTGGCAGCTGCTCCAGTCCTGCCACTGCTCCTGTGGTAGGAGCTGACTACCACTGCTCCTGCCACTGCCTCATCCCTGGGGTTGCCGGTCTGAGGGGTCACCCTGCTAGCCAACTGCTCCAGCAACCCTGGGGCTGACCTTTAGTTGTTGCTCCAGTGCCCTGGGGACTGCTGCTCTGGCGGCCTCTACTCTGGCACCAGGGGGTTGACCCAACCCTCACTGGCGGCTGCTGCTGCTGCTTCAATCCCGGGGGGGGGGCTGACCCAACCTTGGCCGCTGCTTCACCCTGGGGCCACTGCTCCAGCAGTCCGGGGCTGCTAGCTGCTTCAGCCTTGCCCCTGAAGAAGTCATGGAGGTCCCAGCAATATGCATCCGTGACCTCTGACAGAATTGTATCCTTATGAATGTGATGCCAATTTTTAGAAAAGGCTCCAGAGGCGGTCCTGGCAATTACAGGCCGGTAAGCCCAACTTCAGTACCAAGCACATTGCAATTATAGTGAAGAACAGCATTATCAGGCACATAGATGACTCTTCCCAAACAAATCATGTTCAACATGGCTTTTGTAAAGGGAAATCATGCCTCATTAATTTACTCTCTCATGGGTCATGGTTAAAAGATAGGAAACAAAGAGTAGGAGTAAATAGTCAGTTTTCTGAATGGCGAGAGGTAAATAGTGGTGTCCCACAGGGATCTGAACATGGACCAGTGCTGTTCAACATATTCATAAATGATCTAGTAAAGGGGTGAACAGTGGTGCGGCAAAGTTTGCTGATATACAGTTACTCAAGATAGTTAAGGTTACTCAAGATAGTTAAGTCCAAAGCAGACTGCAAGAGAGTTACAAAGGGATCTCACGATACTGGATGCCTGGGCAACAAAATGGCAGCTGGAATTCAGTTTTGATAAATGCGAAGTAATGCATATTAGAAAACATAATCCTAACTGTTTTACAAAATGGAGTGTAAATTAGCTGTTACCACTCAAAAAAGAGATCATGGAGTCATGGATAAGTCTCTGAAAATATGCACTCAATGTGCACTGACAGTCAAAAAAGCTAACAGAACATTAGGAATAATTGGGAAAGGGATAGATATCATAATGCCACTATATAAATCCATGGTATGCCACAAGTCTGGTTCTGCGTGCAGTTCTGGTCGCCCCATCCAAAATATTAGAGTTGGCAAAGGTACAGAGAAGGGCAACAAAAATTATTAAGATTATGTAACAGTTTTCGTATGAGGAGAGATTAAAAAGACTGGGACTATTCAAATCAGATAAGGGACCAACGGGATATGATAGAGGTCTATAAAATCATGAATGGTGTGGAGAAAGCGGATAAAGAAGTTCTGTTTAACTCTTCAAGTAACACAAGACCCGGGGTCACCCAACACAATTAGGTTTAAAACACAAGGAAGTATTTCTTCACACAATGCAGAGTCAACCTGTGGAACTCCTTGCCGAGGATGTTGTGAAGGCCAAAACTATAACTGGGTTCAAAAAAGAATTAGATAAGTTCATGGAGGACAGGTCCATCAGTGGCTGTTAGCCAAGATGGTCAGGGATGCAACCTCGTGCTCTGGGTTTCCCTAAGCCTCCGACTGCCAGATGCTGGGACTGGATGATGGGATAGATCACTTGGTGATTGCCCTGTCCTGTTCATTCACTTGGAAGTATTTCGCATTGGCTGCTGTCAGAAGGAGGATACTGGGCTAGATGGACCATTGGTTTGACGCAGATTGGCCATTTCCATGTTCTTATTTTCTAAATTTCCATTGTCAAAATAAATGAACAATGGTCACTTTGTGGTTGTTTCCTTATGTCATCTGTTAACAAACTTGATGTTTTGCAGAATCCAGTAATTCAGAATGGCCACCATTTTTGAATTTGTCTGCTCCAAAGTTAGGTTCCTAAATCCATGTCAGGGCTCCGATTCTGCAATGACATCTGTGCGAGTGCAGAGATCCACCTGCACAGATGTCATTGCAAGACCTGGGCGGTAGGCATCTAAATAGAAGTGGCCTGATTTTTCAGAAGTGTTGAGCAAACCAGCTTCCATTTAAGTCAGTGAGAATGTCAGATGCTCAGTCCCTCAGAATAAGGGCTACTTTGCTTAGATGCCTAAATATTGATTTAGGAGTCTAACTTTAGTCCCATAGATTGGGAAACACATTGACCAAAATTTTCAAATCACAGTTTTGTCTATGGGTTTTTTTATGAAGATTTGCTGCAGTAAAAATAAGCAGAATACATAATACACGGTATAATGTAAGTGTGCATGCTATGGAGTGTAGTCAAATCTTGTCCTATTGCTAATGCATTTAATTTTGTCTGAAGCTACTAGATTTACAGTAGCTCAGTTAAAAGACAACCCGGGTGCCTTGGAAAAGGCGTACAGGTAGTTTAAAGTTAATACAGTTCTATGCAGGGGGAGCCTGTTTGCTGAAACTCACTGACTGTAGATGTGTGTGGAGCCCTATGTGGATACAATATTTGTATCTGCATCTGATCTGCAATCTGCAAACATGGTCTGGCGATACTGCAAATTTACAGGGCTCTAGAAGTGTGCTGCTTGTGAAATTTACAGGGAAGTGAAAATAGGATTATAGAATGGAATATCTCCTGCATTGCAAGGCTATTTCTACATTAGACTTTCTGAGACAGTTCCCATCATTGCTAATTTTGGCATAGCTCTACTGAGCAGAGCAGTAGTATAGATGCAGCTTCAGGTGGTTGCCAACATTTTACCCAGTGTCTAAACCTAGGTGTTGTAGTGTTTCTGGCAACTTGTCTATGAGAGTGCAATTATGGGACCCCCCCCCCCCTGAAAATAAGCTTCATGTAGATGAGACCTAATAGGCTCCATCTTAAATCCCCAAAGTTATCAAATTATTTCCAAATTCCCCACATTTATTTATTGCATCTAAACTGCATCTACTTCTGGAGAAGAGGTACAAAAGTTAAACTCCAGAGGGTTGTTTTATTTGATTTTGTTATGGGTTTCAGAGCAGAACAAACCTGAGGAAACTATTGGATAAACATAAGGTGTGTTGTGTCAAGAGCACAGAAGGGGAATGTGCATGAGAGCTTTCTTACCTGCTGAAGTGAACTTTTTTGGTTCTTTTTGTTTTTTTTTGTGTAAAAAAAAAAAAAAAGCTTTCTGGCTCTCAAGAGGATAGTGTTTTTATACAATGATTTTTTTTCTCCCTATAGCTAGAGTACAAACTTTTTAACCAAATCGTTTAGTTTATTAACTTCAGCTTTAAAAATAAACAATTGTGTCTCTTCCTAAATCCACCTAATGGGAGGTTTCACATGGTGATATTTCTCCAACAAGAATAAAATGCCATCTTTTAGAGAGAGTACTTAACACAACTATTTTATGTGCAGATCTCCTTTGTACATGTTATGGACACAGGTGTGGATAAAGTTAAAACTAATGATTTGACTGAAAAGATTTATCCTCTACATCTGTTAATTTCAATATTTAGAGATATTTTGAAGAAACTAAAGTGTTTTTTCTCTCCTCCTAGGCTGGCTGCAAACACAGTTGAACAGATACCACTGATACTGTCTGATTCCAAACAAGATGAACACATTGTCATTGCTGCTAAGATTCCCTCAGTACCGTTTTCTTAGAAAGATTTCTTTCAAAAGCTTCCACTCAAATTTCACTCCTGGATCATTATTTCCATATATTCAATCTTTTAATTCAGTATGCTTGTATTGTACAAAGTGGATGTTGCCAGCAAGTGATTTGAAAAGAGGGATGTGTTATCAAGCAACCGTAGACCAACAAACACAGGGACTTTGTGACAAGGAACAGAGACTCGTAGACAAACTTTACAGTGGATTAATCCAAGGGCACAGAGCCTGCTTGGCAGAGGCCATTACTCTCATAGAATCAACTCAGAGCAGGAAAAAGGAAATAGCCCAGGTGCTCATTCAGAAGGTATTATCCTACCACAGAGAACAAGAAAAGTTAAATAAAGGAAAACCACTAGCCTTTAGAGTGGGTCAGTCCTCTTTTGTCTGTCCAGTAACTGTTGTGATGTTATGATATCACCTCTTGTTTCCGATATTTATCATTTTAAGCAAATATGGAGTATAGTCTGAAATCATTGGGTTATTAATAGTTTGTAACCATCTTTGAGTCACTTGTATTGTTCATAAGAATAGTTTCTCCACAATGCTGGAAAATACTCTTGGGGAGACTTTAAAAATGGCCCCTCAATTTCTGGGGAGAATAAAGGGGAATTTCTCATGGATGATAGGATTAGTTTTGTTGAGCTGAAGAATATGGGGGGCTAGAAGGCATAGCTGCACCAGCTATTCAAAGTTTACATGAGCATTGCCAAATGACTATCTTTTTTTCTTGAGGTGCATGTGTTTCCCCAAAAAAAGGAGAAAAAATTGTTTGTTGTTTTATCATTAGTAAAGGCCCCACCTTAAAGCAACCTACCTTATAGCTGAGGAGAGGTGGGTGAGATTCCCTTTACAACCTATCAGATGCTTCAATATCAACTGGAAGGATCGCTGTAGAGTGGTATAGTGCACAATTGCCTTATGCATGTGTATGCCCAAAGGAAGCAAGAACTGGAGCAGGGCATCTTAAAGTTAGTGAAGAGCACAAACCCCAAAGCAACAGGCCAGTCCTAGTTTAGTTGTCTTAAGTTAGCATGCAAGTCACCCATCTTCTTATCTGAAACAGCAATTTTAAATACTGAATGATTTCTGAAAATTGTAGATTTGACATGTTGCATTTTTAAAGTTCTGCAGTGCAAACTAGTATGGAGAAACTTCTGTTTGGGGAGGGGAGAAGAGGTTAAATCAATCTTATGTTGCTATGGGCAAAATGAATAAGTGTTAGAGAAGTGAATGATCCCCTCTGGAGTAGACTGATATAATACACTGCAAATCTAGAATGAGAAGGTTTGGATTTCTTCATTAGAAAATTCAATATTAACATGTAATTCTAGTTGCCTTAACAGGAAGATGAAATCCACCAGTATGTGGTTTATGAAGGTGATTAGTTGTAGCAATTGGTTGCATTTTGTGATATATCTGGAGGCGGGAAAGGGGAAAGTTACTTTTTCAGACAAATATAAATTAAAAAAACCAAACACCCCTCTATTAGTAGGGGGTTTTGTGTGGAGATGGGGGTGTGTGCAAAAGAGGAGGGGTAATTTACTAGCAGTGACAGGCTTCAGATTATTTGTAGTAAATAATTAGAATAGGGTCTCATAGTATTTTTCTTAAATATATTTTTAAGACAAGTTATTTCCTTCATGTTATTGTCAAAGGAGTGTGTTGAGGATTAGTTCATTACGTGAAGAGCATTAAGAAGGAAAGATCAGTAGAGGCTATTGCCTATTTCATTAAACTAGAGTTTTTTGTCCTTCTACTACTTAGGATTGTCTGGTCCCCCGGGTGCTGGGAAATCAACATTTATAGAATGCTTTGGGAAAATGCTTACAGAGAGGGAACACAAAGTGTCTGTGTTGGCTGTGGACCCTTCCTCTAGCACAAGCGGTGGTGAGTATGTCTTAAAAGTTTTTTGGCAGCTCTCCAGCATTTAATCTTGACGATATCTGGAGCTTCTGGTGTGTGTGGTTGAAATTTTATCCTATAAAGTTACATTAATGAACTATATATTGCTTTTTAGTCATTTTTGGTGTGCTATGGAATTAGGCATCATAGTCCGAGTTTTGTGAGGTCCCCAAACTTGTGCTGTCTTCTGGTGGCCTTGTATAGTCTCTCTCTCTCTCTTTCCTGTATGAAATTACTTCCTTGGTATTGTAAGGGGAAAGGGAAAAGTTCCTTTTCTGTGATCCATACTGTTGTTAAACTTTGCAATGTATACTGAAAGTGATGCCAAATAATCTCTTCATTTAGAGGCCATCAGGATACACTTGCAACTCAGTCCTCTCTCTCCACCCCCCCCCCCCCCCCCACTATTCCTGCTTTGCCTTGGATCTTGGAAAAATACACTATCATCCTTGAATGGGAACAAATTGTTTAACTTCTGTGGGACTACCTTGGTTCCAAGATAGACTCTTCTGTGTAGTAAGTCATGGTGAGGTTGCAGTGTCACTGAACTTGATTAACTTTTGTTGGCCACCTGCTCTTCAGCATCAGGCTCTCCAAACCCAAGTTGGTTTCATCTGCAAAACCCTACCCCTCCCAAAATTTATGTTCTGTGGGGCAATGCTGACTAAGCTTGATTTAGCAAACTTACCTGGGACCTACCCAGCAGTAACTGAGATTTTAATCCTTTTGTCATATATGGCTGTATCTGACTAATACGTTCTCATTTTCTGTATATCATCCTCTTGAAACTTGTTATAATTCTACTACATGGAGATGTTACAGGTTAACTATGAATAACGACTGCAATTAGTTGTGGCTAGAAGGAATATTCCTTGAATGTGTAGTGGAGACAGACTTATAGATCACCAGAGAAAGGGGTCAGGATAAGGAACAAAGAGAAGGACTGAAAGGGCCTGTCTCCTTTTAAACTTTAGCAACACTTGTCATACCAATAAATTCTCATTAAATTCAAATAAAAAATGACTACAGGAGAGTTTCTTCTTGGGAGGACACTACTTATCTCTGGGCAATTTGCTATGGAATGGGAGAGGAGGCTTTGCTCTCAGGGAGGGATAACAGGTAAGAGTTTGCTGACGCATCTGCGCTCAGGTCACACATAGGGGTTCGGGACTTGCAGAGTCCGTACTGGCATAGAGGAAGCCCTCTGAGTTTAGGGACAGTGGGCTGCAGTAACTTGCTGTTATGCTTCTGTGATATTCTCACATCTTGCAAGCCGAAAGAGCCACACAGGAACTTGCTAGCACACAACACTGGGAAATTCTCATTTGATTCTTCAGCAGAGACACTCACCTGCACCTATGTTACTGACTATTGAAAATAACTGACTGCTTGCCCTTTTTGAAATTGTTAATGTTACATGTTTAAGGCTCACTCTTGGGTGATAAAACACGGATGACTGAGTTGTCAAGGGACATGAATGCTTACATCAGGCCATCTCCAACCAGGGGGACGTTAGGAGGTGTGACTAGGACCACAAATGAAGCTATTCTGCTATGTGAGGGAGGAGGCTATGACATCATTCTTGTGGAAACAGTAGGTATGTGATTTAAATGTAAAAATCCAAAATTTAGCACTTGCATCCCACTGTACTGTCTAGGCCAACTTATGGCACTAATGATGTATATTTCCTCTTACAGCTTTTCTTCTTCCTTGTCTATTTCTGGTACTTAATCTTTTCTGGTCCATTCCTTTCATAAGTGTGTGTTGACTTCACCCAGTGGGGCCTTACTGTTATATCTTTAAGCCTTGTAAGTTCTGAAAGAGATTTTTTTTCTAAAACTAGATTTCATACTGACCTTCATTGTATCCAACTTTGTTCAGCCCAGAAAGAGAGGGAGCCACAGTGGGACCTCTTCTTAGTACTGTCATTAGAATGGCTGTGAAAGGTCAATTCTGGTTTCAATTTTTCAGGTGTGGGGCAATCAGAGTTTGCAGTTGCTGATATGGTTGATATGTTTGTTTTGCTGCTACCACCAGCAGGAGGAGATGAGTTACAGGTATTTATCTTTTTGAAATGCTAATTGTGACCTAAAATATAAGTCTGAATTTGGAATATGTGTGTGCATTAAGTCTGAGTAATCAAGCATTAGTGCTTGGTGTTGTCCTAGCTCTTCTCCCACTGAAGTCAGAATCTTACCAACTTGACCCACAAAATTTGGATCTGAATTTTCCCAAATGTTCAGGTGTTAAGATTTAAAGTTTTGGTTGTGGCCAGTCTCTTATGATCCACATTACTCATTAGATATGATTCACTTCTTCTCACTTTGAATGCTAGTATAGGTACATGGCGGCAACAATCAGTTGTTACACAACTGATTAGTTTAGCAAACTCAATTATGCTCCTTTCAGGTAATATATGCCAACCCATGCTACACATACATGAAGGATGTTAGTTTCTCATGGTAGAGGAATAAATATGTGAATTAATGGTTCAGAGAGTCATTATAACTGCCTAACTACTAATGAAACCTCAGACATTCCTAATATTAGGAAATTCCTGGTGCCTAAAGATTAAGAAGAAAATCAGGGGGTAAGATAATACAACAAACAAGCCTCATTAGTTTATGAAGGTTTTATGACTGAGCATTATTTTATGACTGAGTTTTTCTAAGCATTCATTTTTTTCCCTTTTCCTTATTCCATTCAGGGTATTAAACGGGGTATAATTGAGATGGCAGATCTAGTTGCTATAACTAAAGCTGATGGGGATTTAGTTGTGCCTGCGCGGCGGATACAAGCAGAATATGTTAGTGCTATGAAACTACTTCGCAAGCGCTCTAAGGTTTGGAGACCAAAGGTTTGTATGTTTTCACAATTTTCTTCTCTTTATTTCAGAAGAGGTGGTGTGTGCGTTATAGGACCTAACGTCATCCTAACTACATATTAACCACCTGGATATTTACATAAAAGTCTCTTCTGCCCCACTTGTGCACCTCTGTCTGAAACATCTTTCATTCACACATCCCTTATTTATTGGGTACCCTCCCTGAACTAGTTTGGAAAGCCCTTACACGCTCTCTCTCCTCCAAATCCTTCCTCAAAACTCTCGTCTACTGTGATGCCTACAGCAAACTGATAATGGCTAGACCGAGGGTCAGTGGGGCTTGCTGATTTGTAATCATTTCTATACATTTTTAAGAAGTTTGGGAACCATCTTGCTGTAAACCATACTAACCTATTTAACTACTATGATCCATGTTTTTTTTCCCTCCTTGTTATACCCACTTGTGATGTCTCATGGGATTTTAGTGCAACGACCTTGTCTTCCTGTGTGTGTACAGCACCTACCACAATGGGTTCCTGAGCCTGTGGTACTGCAATACAAATAATTAGAATTTATAATTGAGGCAAAGAGGCAGTAGTAAAATGCTTTTATATATAAATGAGGCTTCTTGAACACTGGATAAAATGGGCTATCAGACAGTTTGATCCAGCTGGACTGCCTGAGGCTTGGTCATAGTTTTCTGTTCCCATTCTCCCCCCTAAACTTAGAGTGCCTCAGCTTCCAGTCATGTGAAACCCCATTAGTGATTGGATGTCACTGCAGAAGGCAGGGCCACTACTACTTTGCTTCCTGATCAGATTTTTCAGCCCTCTGGCTTATCCCTTTGAAACAAAAACCAGGAAGTTATGCAAACTGACCTGAATGTGCCCTTCTACCAAACAGTGTTGTTGCTTTTTTTATGACTGTATTGACTGCTTTTAACATATTTACATAGGTGGCACATACATTTGTGCTTTGCAGTGTCTAGTGATTAATTTGTTCAAGCAGCAGAGCAATTTACACAGAGCTGAAACCTTTACCCCATAAATTTTAGTAGGGAATGTAGCCTTTCCCTGTCTGGTTCAGTTCTGCTCTATATAAACACAAAGCAAGAGTGGTGACGGGTGACTTGAGATTTATATAATCTGGCAGAAGCCACTCTCTCCTCAGCACTGCTGAGCAGAAGTTTAGATCTAGAAGCTATAGAGACATCCTTTTTTATTTAGGAAATGTTAAGGAGTTTACAAATCCTTGCCCTGTAAATATCAGCACCAAAACAATTCTTATAACAGTAAGCTTTAAGATTTAAAGAAAAAAAACAGGAGTAGAGTTGAGTATTAAGATATTAGTGAGCATCATTACAACACCTATTTCTAGAGATTTTATTACAGTGTGTGAAAGCTCTCTACACATTTAACAGACCAGGCATCTCTGGCAACTCTTAATAGTAAAAGAAAAAAAATCGGACCCGTGTGGGGTTTTTGGCTGAATAAAAACACTTCTCTAACTAGGCTGTTTTTAGAACGTGTTGAAAAGGGCTTGGATGTTTGCTTTCTAGCCTACAATCACTCTTCCAGGGTACAAAGGGAAGTTAATACTGTTCTTACTATAGTATTGAAACTGTGCAGGGTTTCATATTGATGCTGTACTGACTCTAAATGTGGTTATGCAAATATCCCATTGACTTTCCATTTAAGTAGTAATATTGTATATTTTACCTTTAATTTGATAAGATCCTAAAACCTTCAGTAACCAATTATATTACTGAACTGCAGCAACTGTTTGGGTGTAAGCCGTCAGACAGTATGGGGGGAACTTTGTTCAAAAATACTTAGGCAAACCCTCTTTGTCACAAATGCTATGGGATGAGAGTATCGTTTTGGAGGTGGCAGAAGCTTGGTTTTCAAGTCTCATTAGAAGGAGACGCAACATAAGCTGCATGGTAGGGGGAAAAGTCTACAGTAGCACTTAAGGATGAGTTTGCCTTACTAGGATTGGAACTTGTGATTTTAATAGAATCTAGCTGACGCAGAACTCAGGTGTAGACACCCTCCCCAACCCACTTAGTTTCTTTTAAAATGTCCTCCTTAATCCAACAGGTAATGCGCATGTCTGCTAAAACTGGAGAAGGCATTTCAGATATGTGGGATAAGATGACAGAATTTCATGATCTCATGCTTACAAGTGGTGAGTTGATCACTAAACGACGGAAACAGCAGAAAGTGTGGATGTGGAATCTAATCCAAGAAAATATGCTGGACCATTTTCGGAGTCATTTAGCAGTGAGGGATAAGATTCCACTTTTAGAAGAAAAGGTTCTCAGTGGTGTCTTGGCTCCAGGGCTGGCAGCAGACCTATTACTGAAAGCATTCAAAGACAGACCTTAAGATCCCATGTTCTACTGTGTCATTGATCAATTTGCACAAATTATTTAAACATTAAATAAAATTTTCCTAAGCATGGCTTCAAATCTTTTACTGCAGCATACTTGAATGTAGCTCTGACTAAATTTATTTTCTGACTCAGGCAAACATAATGCACATGAGGAACAAAGCTAGTTTCTGGGACTACCACAGATTATATTCAAAAAGAAAAATGTAAACTTCTAAAACTCTTATTTAAGTACAGCATAGTTAAGGATGTTTTAAAGCTTTTAATGAGATTGTAATAGAAATTGTTAAAACAAAATAACTTTGTGGTACCATGTGTCACAGTAAGCTAGTTTTGCCTGTGTTCCAGATATTTCAGCACTTGTCCTGTTATATTTACCAACAAAACCCCCATACAAAACAAGGATAGGTGTAACTAAAACTGCTCTTGGGCTCATCTAAATGTCTTTCAGTGGAGGGGACATCTGTTTACATGACTGTTAAATTTTACAGTGCATCCATGACCTGTCTGTATAACTTACCAAAAACCTGATTCAGTCAACACTTACAGCAGTAAGCACATTAAAGGATGTCTCCAAAGTCTCATTTACTCAACAAAAATAATCGTTTAAACATGGCTATGGTATAACACAGCTTACTGCCGCTGGAGCCTACGGTGGTTTAAGCACACTGTTAGGGCCACAATTAGAGCATGTCCATGTTACAGATTTCAGCTCTGGTATAGCAGTAGATGCTGCAAGGGGAGCTGTTGCCAGCATGGATCATTGCCCATCTCCTCACTGTGAGTGACAGCAAAATCGTTGTGAACTGCATAATCACCTAAGCAGAACCTGTTCTTTTGTGTTATAAACAAATATAGCATTGAAGCAGCCCTGCCTGGGAGCCATATTTATCCAAGGAACCACCCTATTTTTCTCCTGAATAGAAATTTTTTAAAACAAAAGATGAAGTTACATTAGGTATCTTTTCTTTAATATAGCTAATGATAAAGGATTCAAGTGGAACCCACATTAGAGTTTCTTTCGTTATGGAAATGCCCATCTTTATAATTAACTATCTTAAAATACAAAACAAAACTTTGTCTATAGTGATTTAAGGCTATTTGGCTGGATGAAAGAGCGTCAGTTTCTAAACAAAATGACTTTCTCCTGTTGAATTCAACTTAAATACTTTGACTATTCAGGAGCTATATGCACGTTTTGATATCCTTTAATAATAAATTGGAGGCTCTTCTAAAATATTACTTGGAAAACATGGTGTATTTGGCAGAAATTTATTATTACAGAAAAAAATGCCAATTTTGGAGACTGCAGAAAAGCAATAAAACAATAATTGGAGTTCTATGAAGAATTCTTCATATCTTGTATAAGTAAATTGAATTTTTGAATTATGTTAAAAGCTGCGATATGTTTCCTTGGCTTCCCTGACAAACTTGATTTTGCATCTATATTTATTTCTCTAGATCTTCAGTTTTTTTTTAAAACTTTTAGCTAAATCGTAATACATCAGAAAAGTTACCTTTAGCTTTTGAAGACGCTAGGAGATTTTTTTTTTATCCTTTATCTAACAAGGATTCTTCATTGTCTAACTCATGCTACTTTAATTCTTATTGCCAGGGTTAAAGTTAGTTCTCCTGTCAGATAACAGCTGTTGCCTTATTTTCCAGTACACTTCATTATGGTAAAAAAGGATAAAATTGGATGGAAGGACCCCATCCTGCAAACATGCATTTAAGTAATTTGTTCACAGGACTAGCCCTACTGAAGTACATTTTCAGGGCTATATTATAGTACTGAACAGCAGGACAACAATGGTTTGGCTGGTGAGGGGTGAAAGGCAGTTTCTGTATGGAGAAAATTTGCACTCATGTAACTGATTTTAGTTATACTGGTGCAAACCACTAATGTAGTTTAGCTGCACCAGTGTAAAATTATGCTTAAACCACTGTTGGTAACACATGAAATTAAGTTACCACTGCCTAAGAGTGGACATCTACACTGGAGCTAGAGCCTTAATTTCCAACTTGAATAGACATCTTCACAGTAGCTCTGATCAAGCTAGTGCGCTAGATGTATCCAGGGCACAACAGCTAGTTGCCCTCTGTACGATCCTGTCAGAAACCCTAGGTATGTACTTAGGTTGCTAACCCCTACTGCTGCTCATGCCATTGCTGCTATTTGTAGCATGGGTATGTCTACTGGAGCTGGAAATTGTACCTTCTAGCTCCAGTCTAGATGTACCCATGCTAACTCTGATAGGAGAAGGAGGGCAGAAACACAAGTGCTTTACTATGACATCATCATTGGTCACAGTATAATGCTCAGTTGCACCTATGTGAGAGGAAGCTGTATCAGCTAGAGCATGCCCCAGATCAAAAGCCAGGGCTTTAAACCCCCTGAAATGTAGTGCAGTTTGCATCTGCACTTCATTCTTTGGGTTCATCTCTAATTTACTAAATGTGCTATTTTGATCACACTTTTGTGATTATGTACATACTTACAAAATTAAAATCTAAATTTCAGGCTGGCTGAGGGCACCTACCTTGTGGATGGATCAATACGCTATGTAACTTCCGGTTGGAAACTGGCGTGATCTAGAAAGTGATGAGAACAGCATTTAGACTGGTTTTCTCAATATTCTTCTAGACCATCTATGTGATGAAAAATAGTGGAGTTCATCCATGCTAATCTATTAAAACAAAACTTTACCCTTTTGACTTGTTCAAGTGCTCAAGGGCTTCCATTTTTCATCTCCTGTTAAAATCTGAAACTATTCTACTTAAAAAGTCAAACCTGCTAAAAAGGAATCTGCAGTTGAAGTGCCCGTAGCAAATTCAATCCCCTTCTCCTAGCATGGATTATTCTCTTTCTTTGTTTTCAATGATAGGGCCAAGTGACCCATGCTTGGTTGGCTGCTCCATTGTCAAAATTGTTGCTTTTCTAAATTCGTTACCTTCTGTTTTACATGCTCGTAAGCCTTTAATAAGTCTTCTCCTCTTGTATGTTCCTTATTTGTGCAGCACTACAAGCTGCACTGACTCGCTTCCTTTTTGCTGAGGCTACTGTATGTAAATGAAATTATTTTTTTAACCTTGGAGAACTCCCTTCCTAATGTTTGCTTTTAAACAGTAGCCAAGTCTTGCTATGGTATCAGCTCCCTCCACACTGCAGTAGACATGATCACTTCCTCAGTTTTCTCCATAACTCCACATTTTTTATTCTATTTTTCATGGATGTTCAGAGAAAAATCTGTACCACCCCTTTTCTGTTTTATCCAGTTTTAGGAATAAGAAATAGATCTTCACATAGTTTAAGACTCTGATAGCAATACCTTTCCTTGGATACATATTTTCCCTAACAGATAGCTGGATAATCGATTTCATACACAAAATTGGCAAAGCAAACCACTTAAATCAGTAAATTACAAAATTGAGGGTGGATGTATAACTTTAACTCCAGCCTCTTTGGCATATATATATTATAATTCAGTATTATGATGTCACGTACCATTTCTCAAATAACGCTCTATCAGTCCATTTTGAAGCTCTGAATACACATGAAGCATGGTGCAGCCTTTCTGATCTTTTTGTGCAATGGGGCTATGATCTCAGTTGGGGCATCTGGGTACTACTGTAATGTAAATAACAATGAATAATAAACTATTTTTTGTAAAAATACAATTGAACATGAGGTACCATTATTTGCTAGGCAGCAGAAGAATGCTTTTACACACACAAGCACTCAGTGAGGGAGAAGCCCTGCCTTTTTCCTATGCACCTTCACATAGAGGGAAGTGGACAGCACTCCTCTTGAACTCTCCTAATATACGATGTATGTGCAATGCTGATAGAACAGTGGCAGATGGCTACATGAGCATGTTTAATAAAATCAGAGTGCAGGCACAAAGTGTGTTTTTAAACCTTTATAGCTTTGACAGTTCACAGCCAATTTTCACCAAACTACCAACCGGTAGACAGCTCTATCCCTGCCCAATGTTCAGATTCTAAATCTACAATTCAAAAGATGTTGCAAAAATATTTTTAAATCATTTTCCTAGTTCCTTTAAAAAGTTGATTACAACTTTTTTCTTTTCTAAAAAAATGCAAACAACTGAAAATAACATTTTAGAGTGAAAACACACTATACCTAAAATGTTCCTTATTACCTTTACAATTTAAGATCTTGCTAAACAACAAATAAGAAGAAAAAGACAAATAAGGAGAAACATGACATGCACGGTAGCCTGAAACAAGGGAATGTTGTGTAACCAAATATGAAAATCTCTGTTTATGGTGGTGGTTGGATTTTGTGTTTTAATGGGACTGTAGTATTTGTGAAAGATGCCTGATTGCCAACACTTAGAGACTGATGTAATTTACTGTGAACATGCTTCATTTCTGGGCTGCATGGACTACATTAAAGATTGAATGGTTATTTCAGTCTCCATCTATGTAGTCCTTGTTGTTTCAGCTTACCTAGAGGCACAGTTGCAAAGAAAAGATTTATCCTTTTAGAACCAAATGGAGATTAAAAATCACGATCTTGCTAGAAAGAGACTGAAGTACTCACAAATCTTAGATGTTTGAGTAAATGATGTCTATTCACCTGTAACAAAAATGAGAAACTTTACAATGTGTGTTACACAGTAGTTGACACTGAAAAGTAAATGCTTCCCTTATTGCAATACTGTTGTAAAGTAATTAGCTAAGGCTTTATTCTTATTTACATAAATGTAATTTAAGCTCACTTTAAGGCCTTTATTTTTTATCAATCACTCTATATATTCCTACTATATAGCTTTATTTGCTATTTTACCACCACCTTCCTCATTTTTGCTATGAAAAAATAAACAAAAGGAAGTGTCAAAGGGAAGACTATTCAGCTGACCTGTCCTTTGACTGATTGTGATGCTAGTACGCATAGAAGAAGAATAAAAAATTGTCTCTGCACGCATAGACAGTGCACTAACAAGTCATATTTTTAAATATTTCCTCTCAGCGGTTATATAAATATATACAAAAATCCAGTTTGTAGTTTGCTAATTGCTTTTTCTTCTTTTGCTGGTTGTAGTGCTGGTAGAGTTTTTATGACCTGTTGCTTAGCAACTTTTATCAACAGCAGCAAAGCACTTTCCTTTTCCTTAACCTTGTTAAAGTTAGGCTTGGTCACCTCTAGCACTCATCAGCAGAGGAAAGTTATTTCTAAAGTAAGGTAAAGTTGCTGCTCAGAATCTATGAGCTGCATCCAGGATGAGCTATCTCTTCTTAGCTCCTGAATTGCCTTTGCCCTTTAGTCCTCTCTCTCCTCAAGCTTTTGAAGAAATCCAACGCCATGCCGGGGAAGCCTGGAGACGGGAGGCTCAAAGAGAGGCCAACTGTGCAACAACATATTCTGCTGGTTATGGAAAAAAGGAGCTGGCTGAACCTGCAAGAACCAAACCCTCCTCTCCTACCAGGATAAACAGACCTCATCCACCAGAGTAAGGTTTACTCCTATTTAGTGGAGCCTACAATATGTAGTTTTTTTGAGTGGAAAAATAAATTCCTCTTAGAGGTAGAGGCTAGGAGAGGCTTATTACACTAGGCCTTTCTTATTCTTCATCTCTTCTAAGAGGAATTTGAACATACACCTCTATCCCGATATAACGCGACCTGATATAACACGAATTCGGATATAACGCGGTAAAGCAGTGCTCCGGGGGGGCGGGCTGCGCACTCCGGCGGATCAAAGCAAGTTCGATATAACGCGGTTCACCTATAATGCGCTAAGATTTTTTGGCTCCCAAGGACAGCGTTATATCGGGGTAGAGGTGTACTGAACTGGAATGAAACCTGACTGCTATAGAAAATGAGCAGGATCAGTTTAGAAATCAAGAATACCTTATAAAAATATCACCTAATCAAATTTGGCAGGTTCTGTTTAAGACCCAGGATTAAGCTAGCCACATTTCATTATCAATCCTGGAATGGGAACAGCTAGTAAATAACTGCAACAAGGGTTTCTAATGAGATCATAAGCTACAAGGGCTCATATTCTTTATGATGTCATCAGAATCCTAACCTAGAATCATTTTATCATTGCCTTGCTACTCAGTTTTTAATTCTAGATCTAGCTCTGTTTTATAAGTTAAAGAACTAGAGATACATGTATATATACACTACAGCTTATCTATCCATTTAATGATGGAGACAACTTTCACCATTTCAGGCATTACATTCAAGAATTGATGGGGCAGGCTATAACGTCTCTCTATTCTTCCCTGCTTTTTGGCTCCTGTCCTCTACCAGAGTCTCTGGACCTGTTAATAGAACAGCAATTAGCAGTAATGCTGTATTGAAGAACAGTTGATATCACACACACATCTAAGCGTATTAAAGTTTACACGATGCTAGAAGATGGAAACATTTGCAGTGTACATGCTTATTATAAAAATCCATTTTTGATGAAATCCTTATCAAGTCTAACAAGAAACAGGAACCATCCATCAAGAAATCTCGGAAAGTACTTGAAGCAAAAGAAATTGCTTCCTTTGGTTCAGCATCCCTACTTCTTGGAAGCAAATTTAGTTTGCCATAGCAGCATGCTTTTGCAAGTTGTCGAGAGAATGTGATATCATTGTTTATCCTGATTAATATTGGGTCTGATGGAAAACATCTGCTAGTATTTGTTGTCTGATAGAGCCAAAACATGTATATGACTCATGTTATTGAGAAATACAGTTCGAAAGACATTCAGTAACTTAGCAATTGCCTAAAGTCTGAGTTTGTGATATGGGAGTTGAGACCTCAGGTGTCTCAAGATTGCAACCATCTTGGCTTTCCCATATTGTTAAGTCAGAAGGGGGATCCCAGCTAGATGGGAGCAAGATCTTGATATGAAAAAGGGGTCCCAGTCTGGAACCACTGGCTTAAGTATAAGATCTAAAATATATACAGTGTTGTTCCTTTTAAAAAACAAGCAAAAAACCCCTTATAATGCAGATTAAAAGTAAAAATATATTGCCTTACAAAAAAACTAAGGGTGAAATCCTGGCCACATTGAAATCAATGGGAGTTTTAGTTTCAGTGGGGCTAGGATTTCACCCTAAAATATGATACATTGTTATAGGTGAGACTTTAAATGCCTAAATGTTATGAATTCTCAAGGATAGTTGCAACACCAACCTAATTTTTGCTGCTCTCGAGTCTCACCTGCCATACATGGCATATGCAGGCCCTCTCCCTACTCATTATAAAAACAATAATACTGTTCCTCATCATGGACTGTTCTCCACCCTACATCCTCCTGTCACTCAATATATGGGCCCGAAACACTCTACATACATATATGAGCAGTTGTTTCTTCAACTCTGGACTCCATCCCCTACATTCCCAAGATAACTTTGTTCTAACTGAGGCTTTTCTCTAGTTCCCATCCTGGAAGTATCTAGGTGCTTCCCGGGTAAATTAAATCAGGAGAGCAGGCAGGTATAGGTCTGCACATAGGTGAAGAATGCATCAGAATGGTGTCCCAATGGGGAAGAGTTTTGGACTGCATGCAGGGGGTGGGCTGGAGTAGCACAGAGTTTGGAAATGAAGTAGGTTCTGGGACATTAATTGAAAGTTTTTTGACTTTACAATGTATATATTCCTTCCTTGCATAATGTTGTTACAAATCTGGGGCCTGTCTTCTCCTGTACTAGTTCCCAAGAGGAGGAGGAGGATGTAGTGAACAACTTTCCCTCACCCAGGCAGCAGAGTAGGATCTTTGAGAGAGTGAGGGGGAAGGCTTGCTGGCCTCTGCACCATGTCTCTAAGGGAACAAAGTTTACCATTTGGTTAATGGGGGGTGTCTTTCCAAAGTACCAGGCAGCTAGTGCTGTCAGTACCATACACTGAGCTCACATTACTCCTATTCACACACTGACATTGTCCCTTCTGGCAGTGGAGAATCTTGCCCTGACTGGTAGGGTTTTGTAGTAGATCACTAGCCAATCTCACAATGTCAGACACAGCAGGATTTAGGGTATTCCAAAGCACCTCAGTGATTTAGGCAGCTTAAGTCCCATTTTCGAAAATGTTTTAGGCACTCAGGGCCAGATTTTTAAAGGGATTTAGGTGTTGGTCAGCTGAGTGCACCAACACACAACCCCTGGATGGCTTAGTGGAATTTTCAGCCCCAAGTTAGGTGGCTCCATGCTACGTAAGCTCCCTGTAGAATCCTTGGGGATAGTTAAGCACTTAAAAAGGGGGTTTTCACAAGTCAGCCACCTAAGCTAGCCAGGAATGAAATGCGGAGAAGGGGGGGGTGGAGGGGAGAGAGACTCTAAGGTGCCTAAGACGCTGACCTGCTGTGACTGGCTGATGAGCCACAGATAGATTCCTTCTTCCACTCGGGATCCTTACCTGCAAATGGTCTCAGAGAGTTAAGAATTGTCTCCTGCAATCCTGCTCCTAGAGACATACATACAAATCCTGTAAAACAACTATAGAACTAGAATGGCATCTCCCATGTAACAGTTTGAAAAGCTATGTCTTATTGACCAGCTAGAGCATAACAAATGTTCTAAGTGCCAGGAGAAAAGAACAGACCTTTTTTTGGTGCTCAGTTCCCTAAGGTTTCTTTCTCCGAAGCAGCTTGTACTGGGCACTGTCAGAGACAGGATACCCAACCAGATGGACCATTGGGCTCTTGTTCTTGTGTTGATGGGCATGGCATAAGAACCTAAATAAAACAGATTTTTAAAAACACCTGCATAACTTATTGTAAATAAAGAAAACTAACCAATGACAAGGTAAAGATGCTGCAAATTTATCATATTGCACAAGCTTATAGAAATAAAGCAGCCTTTTGTTTGATCTAAAAGACTCAAACGTTCTCTCCCCCTGTGTGTTCTCTAGAGTGTTTATGGTAAACCAGCTTCATTATTTACCTGGATATTACAACAGTGATAAACAAACTGCTGCAGCTGACAAAGGTAAATCTAACACACTTAGTTATTCTGAAGATGATTCCTTAGCCAATCTGCATCCTCTGTGATTTCTAGACTCTTGTTACTGATGGAGCAATGACAATGATTTAAAGGTATGGAGAGACTTAGGTTTGAGGGGAGAGTGAAAACACTTGGAAAGTTTCATCTAGGTGGAAGAGAGACACAATAGAGCAACTGGGAGCTGGCCAGAGCAGCTGCAGGATGACTGGACCTGGGCTGCAGTGTTTACAGGCAGTGACCAGATGGTGCTGTGGAGCAGTGTTCCTTAGCCCTGCAGCCACCAGCTAGCCAGCATCTCAGGCAGTGGCAGCTCAGCCCTCTCAGCATTCAGTATGTCTCTGCGCCTTCTGGGGGTGCTCCCTCCCTCTAGGTAGTCTGGTAAAATGGGCCAGTCAACCAGGCAGTTACCAAGTAGGCCACCAGTCAAGGACTGCCAGAGAAAGATAAACATTTGTTTCAGGGAATTGTCAGGTGAAAGACAAGCAGTTGCAAAATGGCCCATGGACAATGGATACAAACGGGTTGACAAACTCAAAGGAACCTGGATCTGATCCAACCACCAACCAAAGTCCCTCCTCCTCACCCTCCCCAATCAAATCTTTTTCCTGGAAAATTCCTGGTTCCTAGCCCAGCCAATGCTACCTCCAGCACTTTCTGGGTAATGTCCCCACATAGATCCAAAGTTTGTGGGTCCATAGGCCCCCTCTGATCCCAGGAGGCTACGTTAATTCACCCATGGGAACAAAGAAACACTGGCTGCAGACACCATTTATTAAGGTCACTAAATGTCATCTGTCATTAGACACAATTTAATATTACATTTGAACATAGACTGCAATAATTGCTAGAATTTATTCCTCCTACTAAACTTAAGCCATGGTATGTTTTAGTATGTCTGTCTATATATGTATAAGCAGCATTACTTTTAAATAAAACACCCACAGCATTTCATTAATAGCAGCATAAGATTTGGGGGATCACAATTCCAGAAGTATAGTATTAACTCCTGGAGCTTCCTCACATAATTACAGTGTGGTATCGTCACGTTCAACATCAATCTTTCTCACTAAGCAACAAAGAGTCCTGTGGCACCTTATAGACTAACAGATGTATTGGAGCATAAGCTTTCATGGGGGAATACCCACTTCGTCAGACGCATGTACGAAGTGGGTATTCACCCACGAAAGCTTATGCTCCAATACATCTGTTAGTCTATAAGGTTCCACAGGACTCTTTGTTGCTTAGTGAGAAA